TGCATCGATCTGAGCAGATGTGAGTCGAGATGAGTAATGGCCAGAGTGACGGTAAGTGTGTTGTCGCACGAGCACCAAGGGTGGCAGGTAGAGATTAGATAGTTTGAGTTTGAGGACCTATGGAGCAGTTGGAAAGCAAAGATCATTACTAGCTTCCTGGGTAATCACAGGTGTTCGTGGAAGAAAGATAAAGCGGCGCCACTTTTATCTTGATTTGGAGCAGCTGGGGAACTTTTGGTTGTTCCAGAGCAAATTGACTCGAGGTTCGTGTGGGGATTTTGAGTATTTGATTCGGGCTCCGATTAAAGCGGCGTGCACAGTATTTGCCTGTATTTGCGGCAGTTGTGGAATACGACCTTACCAATTGAAATTTAGCCGTGTGGCCAATAACGGTTAGGGAGACGGTTTGGACTACCCGATTAGTCAGAATACTTCACCACATTCACATTAATGACTCGAAGCTGGAGTTAAGGACCCTTGTCTCTCGGAGATAGGAAAACCTTTGAATGTCCGCAATGGATCCGCCAATATTATGAAGTGAGAAATATCCCTGACGTCTGTCAATGTCATCCATCGACGAAGTAGGGAAATTCGATTAAAGTTCAAACTGATGGGGACACTTTTCCCTTTTTTGCTTGAGAGGAGGAGGGTGGAAGGGAGGGGTGGGATTTCACATTGCGGTATATTATCATCCCTTGCTCAACGATAAACTTTGAACCGAAATATCCTTATATAGAGGATTTGCTGCACGGTTTTCCCGTTGAACTACTCTAGCTAGCTGGGTGCCTGGTAGTTAGTTCATGAACGTTTGCTTCGCCGGATGACTCTTCAGGTATTGGTATTGGTATTGGTATTGGTATTGGTACTGGTATTAGGGTTAGTATTCGTATTGCTATTGCTATTGCTATTGCTATTGGCATTCTTCATTGCCAAGTAAAACTTCAAGAGACTGCCGGGTAGACAATGACAGCCTGAGTCTTTGAATTATATTGATGCATACCGCAACTGAAGCTTGGACATGGTAGCCAGCCAGCCGCCCGAATATATCCTAATCTGATTGTCTGAAGCCGGAGAAACTCGATTCCCACATTGCCAAGTTGTTTCGTTGCCTATGGGACCACGGTGAGCTTTTCCTGGTGAGTTTCGTATCCACCGTGTCTTTCCATTCTTTCAAAACAAACAAAGAAGAAAGAAGAAGGGGAAAAACAATAATCTCGTATCGTCACACCGTATTTGGCAGCTCGAGCCTCACGTATCTTACACGGTACACGCTACACCATTGCAAGGGCCAGGCCAGCTCCCATCATTCCCCCCGTCTCTGAGGTTTTCGATATGGGTTGGGGTTGGAAAAGGAGATTCCTCTGTTGGTGTCTGTTGGTGTCTGTTGGTGCATCAAGCGGATTTACGGAGTGAAAAAGGAAGAAGTTGACTTAATCCATAATCATTTATGGATCCCCAAGATCACCATTGAGATTATCTTTATCAGTATTCAGGTATCTGCGGAGAGACATTTCCGCCGCATCCGTGGTCCAAAATTACGAAAAGCTTGCGAATTCCCACCATTGAGATTATCTTTATCAGTATTCAGGTATCTGCGGAGAGACATTTCCGCCGCATCCGTGGTCCAAAATTACGAAAAGCTTGCGAATTCCCACCATTTTTATTACAGAATTTCATCTGATTGACACGCGAATGTGTTGAATCATTTCGATTGATTACTAACATCAACATCGTTATCGATGGAAGAAGCCTCGCTCCTCTATCAATCAATGCTGTGAATAGCTTCACAATTTGCACTTGCTAAAAGTCTGCATCAAATTGAACTTGACGTGAAAAGACGATGAGAAAAAACACCTTACTTCAGGGTTTATCCAAATGTCTTGATTGTCGCAATTACTGAACCAAAAATCGCTGGACTGCATATCCAAAGGGAAATACTAATATTGGAACGATTTGCAACAATCGTCTTCAAATCGCAATACTCGATTCCCCAACAGAACATTATGTATGTGAAAGAGAAGATTTTGACAAAAGAGATAGATAACAAATGCACATTGATCTTCCATCTTCAAAATGGACGCCCAGGCATTACGAATTGTAGGTTCTATCTCATTCTCAACTTTGTTAGAGTACAAACCTCTATCTGGATATCATTTCTCTTGCGGGATAATGTCGATGTTCTCGAGATGATTCCACAAGTCCTGAGATGATCGCATGGAGAAAATTCGTTGTAGATCGCATATCTCAAGGAGGTTCTCCATGGGCGGTGAGAGGGTTTACCTGCCATATCAGTATTGGTTGTGTGCTAGGCACATAAATCACTGAGTACGCCAACGTTTTCTCCACAGCCATCGCCGTTTCATCTTCCTGTGTACAAAATCGATCATCTCGAGGATTTTTGCTCAAGCAGAAATGATCTCACATGGAAACAATTTGGAGATATTGCTACCATATGCACAATCCTGATTGACGCCACTCCCCTTGAAACTAAGCAAAAGTTTGCCAGTGTATATTTGATCGTGGGATTTGTTCCTACCATCCCTTGAATTTAATGTGGCTCTACTAAAAGCAATTGGTCTGTACTGGCCATCACATCTCACAACGTGGAGCAATGTGGCAAAAGGATTCCATCGAAGTGGTGCGTAAAGAATATTTTCTCAAGCTCAAGAGGAGGACTAGGAGGATTGAATGAAAACAAGGCTTGACTCCTGATTGAAGCATCCTAATACGCGAATGTAACAAGATGATGAGCAAAGAACGGGTTGAACGAACAAGTCTAGTGTCGAACCCTTCACGCTCTGTGCCTGCATACGGTCAGGACTTGAGTCTTCCACAACCCTCAATCAGGGAAGAAATCACGGAGCTAGGCTCCAGAAAACAAAACACAAAGCTATATTCTCACACTTCTTACAGCGAAACCTGTGTTCTCGATACCCTGGTGGATACCCGCATACATCTCACTCCGCTGTCAACGCCTTGACGGATACCGACTCATTTGCCACGCCTTTCACAAACCGCTTGGTGTGCCAACTCACAGTTTCAGATCCTTTGATCCATAGCTCTGATATTTGCTTGTGGGAAACCTGAAGACCCGGAAATACATCTGATCTATACGTGCTTGTACGATGTTGAGATCGAACTCAAATCACAATCGAGGGTGTACACAGCCGTAGCCAGCAGAACGTTATCTGCAGCTTGCGCGCATGGAAGTTGCATGGTGAGCACGGCGATGCAAAGTACACGTACGGCGTGTCCGGTACGGATTCTAGGTCCTCGGGAATCCATAACTTTCCACGCCTAGTGAACGGGTATACCATCACGGGATCTCTTGACCGCCGAAATCTGTGTGATACAACACTCCCGAGACGGTAAGACGGAGTTGCGAAAATTCCCCACTGCGCTTGCCACTTTCATCCCTGAGTTCTCATCATCTTCCTCTATTGCAGATAGAGAGATCTTCACTTTTTGGAGAGGAAGGTTCAATATCACAAGAAGCATCTCTGCTCAAAGCGCGCAAATAACCTTTCTGTACGACTCTCCTTGCCACTCGTGCGCATAGGAATCAGCCCACCCCAATATTATCAAGCGGACTTCGTGTCACCAAAGATGATTCCGGAATTACAAGTAGTACGGCCGATTGTACTATGTACATCCATCTATCCATTCTTTCAGCGCGCTCCACTTCTCCCTCACACACTATCGATATTTCACTCCAAATTTATTTTCACATCGTTAGTGAAGGAATACAATTCTCGTCTCGAGAACTCTCCATATTGTGAAGTATTTCTCCATCCCAATGCACACTTCCTTCCATCCATCTCTGCTAGTGCAAATCCGGAGCAATTTCGTAGAAGAATACTACGCTGTACTATCAAAACTCAAATCACAGATGCAAAATTATCGTGAGTAAATACATACATATCTAGTACCTACCAAAGTACCTAGTACCCCAACACAACAACGACCCATCTGTACTCCCCCTCCATCTCGTTCGTTTACATCCCCACGCGTAACGCACCTAAAAAGTAATACATGTACTATCCCGTCTCTTTCAGTCTTTCGGTCTAGTAACCTTATTATCACTAGGTACTGCATGTTTTCATTATCTGTATCTGTAACTATAGATGTGGATGTAAATGTAGATGTAGATGTATTTGTATTTGTATTTGTATCTGTATCTGTATCTGTAGCCTGCATATTCCGCATTGTCAAAACGTTATTGTAGGGATTAATGAGATTCTCGATGCGAGATTTAGATGCTTGGAGTATGTATGTATGTATGTATGTGATACATAATATTAAATGCATAGCATAGCATAGCATAGGGTAGGGTAGCACAGGATACCTAATAATATCCGCACCAAAAAAGCTTATTCATTTCATTCATTTCATTCCTTTACAAGAAACCCAAGAACAGGAAATAGAAAGGAGAAATAAACTTCGACGTACAAACTCCACGCTTATGAGATTGCGAGACGGGTTACCTCGATTTCTCTTACATACGTACACAGTACACCAGGTACAATTCTTCATGAGGATCAGAATGGGGGGGATTCGATCTTTGGTTACGCTGGGTAGATGGGTAGGTAGGTGTAGTTTAGAAGTTGGAGACTAATAGTGTATGGTGTGTAATATGCTCTTGAGGAATTTATTTATTTTATTATTAATCCATGAATCTATTAATGTATTTATTTCCCCACGGGGAGATCCCTGATTCGGGAGTGTTTATATGAGAGATGGTATCCTGTTTTCCTGGTGCTTGATTCTTGATACTTCTGATATCTGGATTTATTTCTATTTATATTTTATTTATATCGTATTATATCGTGTTCTGTTATCACGAAATCTCGACTCTTCTTCTTCCTCTTTCTTTTTCCTATTCCTATTCCATATCCACACACTCTCCCTCTCTCTCTCCCCCATCTCACCCACCAACCAAACATCAAGTCCACAACCCCTTCCCCTTCTCCCTCTCCCTCTCCCAAATCCCCCTTCAAAAAATGGCAGACCTTCAAATCCACGCCAATCTCGCTATCGCTGCACCTGCCGTCCTCATCCCCATCTGTACCGCCACAGTCGCATTACGAGTATATGCTCGTCATTTGAAGAAAGTCGGGTTGGGCGCGGATGATTATTTGATTATGGGGGCGTTGGTATGTATTACCTGTGTGGATGTGTAGATATTTGGGAATGGGTGGTTGAGATGAGATGGATGGATGGGATGGGATGGGATGGAATAAGTGGATGGATGAGGCTGATGATGTGGTGTGTGTAGGTCTTTGTAGTTGGGATGGGGGTTGCTATTATAGCTGGTGAGAAATAAATTTTTGTTTGTTTTTTGCGGAGGAGGTGATTTGGAATTGGGGTTGGGACTGAGGGTATAGGAACTAATTTGTGTATATGTTGAAAAGAGGTCGGACTGAAACAGCTTGGATATCCTGCCCCGGCGCCATCGACTCAGATTGGGAAACCGGATTCAAATATCGTACGTCTACTCATTCCTTCATTTCCCTCCCCCCATTTTCACCCCTCTAACCCCTTCATCCACACTCCCATTCTCACCCTCTCCACCCCTAGGCCTTCTGGCCCGGCGAGCTCCTCCAAATCCCGCTCTCGGCCTCGTCAAACTCTCCCTCATCCTCTTCTACCGCCGCGTCTTCACCCGCAACGCCGCTCCGCGCTTCAACATCGTCACTTGGTTTATGATCTTCATAATCATCATCTGGACTCTTTCCTTCTTCTTCTCCATCCTCTTTATCTGCGGCGGCGATTTTTCCGCTTACTGGACAAGTACCATTGTGGAGAAAGCCCACTGTGTCGATACGGATATGTTGCATAATGCGTTTGCCATTAGTGATGTGGTGACGGATTTTGTCATTATTAGCTTGCCAGTTCCGATGGTATGTGTGTTTTTATTTTATTTTAGGGGGTCGTTTTTGTGGAGGGAGAAAGGAGTCTCCCCTGAATAAGAAGCGATGCATGGATGAAGTGAGGCGTGGATTTATTTTCACTCTTCACTAGAAACTTCCTCACGCACATTCCATTTTCTGAATCTCTCTCAAAGTAGCCGATTCCTCCGGACAAACAGAAGTTTTGTTGCACGTCTGAATAATTAATTATCGTGAATTTGTTCGATTGAATTTTGCAATGATTGCGACATAACCAGTAGTTTTTGCGCATTTTCATCACATCCAACGAGTTTGCTTAGCTCTCCTTTCAACTATTCTCACTGCCAATCCAATCTCAATTTACTGACTGCTTATATAGATCTTCGGACTACACCTCACTGTTGCTCGAAAAATAGGTATACTAGCTATCTTCTCCTTGGGAGCGCTGTTAGTTGAACTTTTACCTAGCAGTCTGTTCCTATTCAAACAAATAAACTGACATCAAAATCCCAAAGCACGATCGCGGCATCCATCGTTCGCATGATAGTATTTATCCAAGCCACCGCCGTAAACTACGACCCGCACGCTGATTTTGAATGTACATCCCCCCCTCTTTCCTTCCTCCTCTTTCCCCCGCACCCAAACTAACCCCCTTCACCCAGTCATCTGCACCTCCGGTCTCTACTGGTCCCTCATCGAATCCAGCCTCGGCGTCATCGCCGCCTGTCTCCCGGCCCAATACGGACTCCTCAACACCCCGGGCGTGCAATCCCTCGTCGCCTCCGTGCAATCCGCCATCTCACTCCGTTCCATGCGCTCCAGCTCGCAACATCCCAGCCAGTGCGACGCGCACGATTCGCAGCGCAATCTGTACGGCAATATGGATACGAAGATGGAGCCGTGGACCACGGCCCATGGAAGCGAGACGCAGAATATTATTGCGCATGCGGAGGGGCCGGCTAGGTATGAGCGGGAGGGAGAGTTGGAGGAGGGGGGGTTCAAGGGGAAAAACGGGATTGTGGTGACGAATAGTTTTGAGAGTAGGGAGGGGTTGGCGTAAGGAGGGACTGGTTGGAGATTTTGGTATGGAGAGTTCAGATTGGAGAGTAGAGGTTGGTTGTTGAAGAGATGTAATTTAGGTGGCTTGAGTTATATTGGATGTGTGACTTTTGCTCTTGGATATCCGTGTTGCGATTAAGAAGAGGAGAAAGTTATTATTATTTTGATGCGAGGTTGTACTGTATAGTTGTTATTTGGATAGATTATTGATGTTTCATTCCTGTGTATCCCAGTTTGGAGTGAACACATCCATTACCCGTGAGAACTATCTGATAATCCGAAAACCATCATCGATCTGAAGGTCATTAGATTCTGAATCTTCGAAGGTAGCTCATCAATTTTGAAACAGAACAAGGCCATTTGGCAGGTTCAGCATCCAGAACGATGCGATTGTTGATTTCTAAAACGACTTCTACAGTCACGAATCTCTCGCTATCGGACCCCAGTATGAATTACCCAACACACTTAACGCAAAAGATCTCATGCTGGAAGACTTTTTTTAAAATCATCGCTTGTCATTATTTCATTTAAAATAAAGAGGATATTGATCCACTTGATCCCCAATACCTTCCGAAAGCCCAATGTAACTATTCCCCAAGACCAGCCTTGTACATCGCATCAGCATCCGTTGTAAAATAGAGAGAGCAGTCCGGATACTCCCCAGGTTTCTTATCTAAACCTCTCTCTCCTCATCATCATTTCCCTCGACATACAACCTTTTCACCAAAATTCTCATTCTCCTCTCTGCTTCCTCGATTCCCATTGTCTCTTCTTCCTTCGTATCTTTCTTTTCATTTACGTTACCCACACTCAAAGCCTTGTTCTCTTGACTGCTATTCTTCTCTCCTTGTCCCACGCTGCTTCGCACCTCCTGGCTAATACCTGTTTTCCCCTCTATAGAGTCATCCTGCCAACTTGGCATGAACCTCTTCGAACGGTTAATGTCCTCAATCTTAAGCACAACAACCCATTCTACCTTCTCAGCCTCCAACCACCACTCAATCTTCTTTCCCTCTCTCCACCACTCTCTCCCTTTGAAATCTCCCACCTTTTTCCACCACTTCCTCCTACCAAATTCCATGTCCCTCTTCATCTTCAAACTCTCCTCTAAACCCATAATTCTCGGTCCATCGAAAAGTCCGCTTGGCTCTCTCGCCTCTATCGCTTCGATCGTATATCTTCGCACGATATTTTCACCATGATCAACATCATGACCCCCTCGATAAGAATCCAAAAGTGTTTTTTCCGCCTTCTCTCCCAGTCTATTGACAATATCCCTCAAGTAATCCTCTTGCATTTGTCTCTCCACATCTCCACCTGCTTTGATTTCCATCCTCATGCTACATCCATACATTTTTCTCCTTGCCGCATCTTGAAATCTCTGTCTGATTTTTGAAATTTCGGCAGGATGTAACTTATCAGATGACAGTGACCATTCCTCCATAATGTATTCTCGCCCGGTTGGCCATACCTTAAGGTCGCACCCAGTCAACATCCACCAATCTTGCTTTATATGGGCAGGTACATGGTGGAGAGTCCGTGTCTCGTAGTGGATTTTGTTTCCCGTATTCTTTTCCGGGTTGGTTGAAGTTGTATCATTTACTGCAGTTTTTGCGGAGGCAATGGAAGGTGTGTATTGAGGTGGTGCTTTGGAATGAAGATAATGAAGAGAAATAGGTTTATCATTAGTCTCTCCCATCCTGTCGATGAGTTTCTCATCGCATTCCTTCGCTAGTATTTCATGCTCTTTTCCTCGAACACCAATCAAGGCAAGATATTGTTGATAACCAATCCGATCAAGACTTTCGTATGTCTCTTCCAACTCACTGACTAAAAGTGGTAAACGACTCAGATCGGACATATTTGAGGGCAATAAATAAGCTTCTCTACTATTCTTATTTCCAGATTTACAAGAGGTCAGCTCCAGGTTATGCAAGTATGAAAGTGAGAATGAACATACCCAAACGCTCTGAACCATTGCGCCCCTAAACCGAGCCCCATGCATGTCATGCTCACGTCTTCTAGTTTCTCACAAAATTCTTTCATCTCATCATTCTTTGACACGTTGGGAGTCTGACCTTTTTCGAACATTCTCATCAGTGCCATCACATTCTTGCTGCAGCTTAGCGAAGCCTTGAATTTTCCAATCAATAGCTCCCGGACTTCCTTGCTGAATGTTATTTCTTCTGATTCGAAAAGTGATGTGGCTATAGTAGTAAAAGTCAATTGATCAAACAGATCAGTGATCTGGTCTTGCTCATGGTCGGGCAAGTTGATCCAGAATAACCTCGCCGCGGAAGTGCTGATATCTTTTACCAGCTCATGAAGAGATGTAGATAAAAAAGTGGTTGAGGGAGACACCTGGAAAGGACTTGTCGGAGAAAGAGATAAATCACCATTATCTGGCATTGCTGCAGAGGAAGGCAAATGACCAAAGTCTGACATAACCTTTTCATCAGAAGAGGAAGTCATACTTATGAAATATTGATCCAGATATCTTGGCTTTAACTATCGAGTCCAGTATCGTTATGTCGTGGTAATATCCTGATATCCCGTCGTCAAAGAACAAACCAACCCAGGAAACCCAGGAACCCAGACCCTCTTAACCTTCCTTCCACACACACTCGCCAAGAAAGCACGCTAAAGAATCATGCCATCAAAAAAGTCAGTACTCAAAAATCATGCAACAAACAAACAGTGAATACACCTAACGGAGAGCCTCAGCAGATTGCTTCTACAACTAACAAGAATCGCAGACCCACCTGGGCACTAACATAGGTACCATTATAAGGCTGGGCAAGACCCATCTCAACCATTGCCCCACATACGATCCTCATAACACGGTCACCCCGAAGGATCTTAAATAGGATTTAATTTTAGAATGGCAGCGATGTAATTATACTTCTTCATTGTTTATACAGTGAAATCGTATTAGAAAGGGGGGTAGGATATTTCCAGCCTGTTGATTGCCACTACTAAAAATACATAAAACACGGGAACTGACTGGCATGTATGTCATTTGAATAGTGGTGACCATGAATGGGTGATTGGAAAAGTCCCAACTTTGGGAGGAGATAAAGATTTCGGCGAAACCAGTCACGATTGGATTCAGGGTGGGGGGAGGGGGTGTTAAATGAATTTCTCGCCAATAACGCTGAAAATTAATGTATTTTCGCTAAGCTTAACAAGTACACCGCTCTAATTCCATCAAATGCATTACCTATAGCCCATTTTAATCTACCATGCTTTCCATTATATTTCTATCAACGCCCGATTCTAACTGCAGTACGCATCGATCATTTAGTAGGCTCCAAGGCCTGCCATCCCCTAATATCATCATTATCGCCCAACAAGTCAAGCGGTCTTTTCGGCAACTCTGGCTTTGCCCCTTCATCGTCTACCTTTCTTCCAGATCTTCGAGGCTGTGGTGGCGGAGGCGGTTCCAGATTACTTTTATCTATACCAGAAGTAGCTCTCCGAGTAGGCGGCGAGAAATCTCTATATGCACCGGGCATAGGTGGCGGATCTTTCGATCTTGAAGCCAACGAAGAAGTTGAGAGGGTAGGTGAAACGGAAGTAGATGCTAAATGTACAGGCTTTCTTGGAGGAGGTGGTGCTTTCTTGTACGAGGAACGTGTTGTTTCGGTCGATGCGCGCCGTGTAAGTTGAGGTGGGGGAAGGACTGGTTTTGTTGTTGTGGTCGGGGTCGGAGTCGGGAAGTTGCTCGCTACTAGCTGTGGTGGAGGGAGTACTGTCTTTGCAGCCAAGGCTGGGGTTGAGGAATTACCCTTTATTGGATTTCCAAGTCTGCTCTGGGAACTAGGGAGAGAAGAAGAGTCAAAAGGGGGTGGAAGCTTTCGTGGTACAGTGCCGTTTCTTCCCACAGGTGTCGGTGGAAGAGACATTCTCTGTGAACTGTTCCGTGTAGACATACCAGGTCTTGAAACCTTGACCCAGTCAGGTTCATCGCTCACACTCCACGGGTTGCTCGGTCTCCTTGGATTTGGTACCACATCCTTTGAATTGCTCGGCGGTTGAACTTGGCTCTTCGCAAGCTTCCCCCCGTCAAGCCACCATTTCCTCTCACTCGAGCTTGCAGGTGGTAAACCAGGCTCTAGGCTCTCGAATCCAATCAAGTCCTCATCGTCAGTTCCATCCAATTTTGAACTAGCTGTTGCGCCGCCAATCTCCTCTCTCCTCCTATCGTAAATGCTTCTACTGAGAGAATCACGGATAGCGTCGTCAATGACACTCACAGTGCACTGAAAGTTTGCATATACAGGTCTATGGTCGGAAAACCGTAGGGGCGCGGTGTTGTAATTGATTTGACGTAAATTGTTACCTTTCCGTAGGATTCGATCGGTCCATGCCGGAATTCTGGCCTTTTCACTAGTATCGTATGTATCGGTACCGATGTCAAATTTATATGTTGGCATAAAAGTGATCCTGGACTCGGAATAGTATTGGAATGTTAGACCAGCTACCATTTGCAGGTTTAACTATGCTGCTATTAACGGGCTTTCAGTTTGTTCTGAGCGGCGGAACTCACCTGATCATTCTCGTATAAAGTCTCCAAGTCGCCCATTTTTATAAGTTGCTTCACCTGAAAGCATGTCAGAATCAATGTCGAGCTTGTAGAGAAGTTTACTCACCCGCTCAGGTCCAAGCCCTATCCGATAATTGAAGTCACCCATCCAAATAACCGTATCTGTAATAGCATTAGTGGACAATTCTTACAATCATTTAGATCAACTTTCCATGATCATCTATGCCCCGGTTTCTTTGAAACCTCAATCCTTTGTGGATGGTATGATAATCCTTATTACGGTCTGCATAATTACTGAAGCCAGCAGCTAGATGTGCAGTCACAAAGCAGATCTGAGTATTTGCATAATCCATGCGGATTGAAACAGCACCTTTGTTGCCAGCCATCCCAGACATCCCAGTCTTTTTAACGCTGCCTTCAACATTCTTGATGTTTGGTAAAACTGAAGCTTTAACGAATACACATAGGGCAGCTCCCACAAGCTGGCCACTTCGTAGCAGCACGTAGTGATCCTGACCAGCTGCACGAGCATGTCTGTTTAGAGTCTTTCGCACGGCCTTTTCCCATGCTTGTTTTATTGTTGGATCACTGTTCATAATTTGCTGAGGGCTCAATTCCACTATTTCTTGGAAGCCGACCACTACTATTTCAGGATGCTGCTGTGATTTTTCAAGCTCAGGACATAACCATAAAGCCAGGTCTTCTTCTATACCAGATGTGCGCCCATTAAGATTGAAACTTCCAGCCCATCTAACCAAGTTAGCATATTGCGCGACGATTAAAAGGATAGTAGACTTACATGTTTATCACCTCAGAAGACTGGAACTCGGAGCTACGTTTGTTTAGCTCAGCCGTCACGTAGTCATTAATAGGATCGAACAAATGCACAGGCACTTGTCCCACAAGTCTGCCCAAAAGCACATCAATAGTGTTTTGTCGTCCCTTGTCCACAAAATTGTTCATGTATAATCGGGTAGCACTCTTTCGTGCATCGGCAAATACACCAGAGAGAGTCTGCTTATTAAATCTCGTGTACGATGATTTAAGAGCTCCTGTACCTGCATATATTCGTGAAAGAGCATCGCCATTATCAGCCCACATTGTTGAGTGACGCATCCAAAACTCGGAAGTGCCTCTGGCCCCCCTATGCAGGAGAAACGACTCTACTGCCATTTGAGATATGATAGTTTGAATAAGATTTGTCCTGTCCAAGCAATCCAGGCAATTAGTTCTAAATACACCTTCTTGTTGTAATACGACCACTGTTCTTCGGATTTGGTTCTCAGGAACATCTTCCGTGTCATCAATTTCTTCAGACAGATAATATGCAAAGCCATCTGCTGAATTTTCAATTATACTTCGAATCATGCTAGCTGCCTGGTAACCTTGAGGTCCCTTCGTCTCGGCATGAAAATCATATTCTGTGACCCTTAACAATTGATGATCTTTGGCATTCTTCTCTTCTGTTTTATTCAATGACGAATGATTAATTCCATATTGATAACAAGCAGTAATTTCGGCTTCAGCTGGTTTAGTTTCACTGAGCAGATTGACCACATGAACTGCGCCGTAGTTACGCTCCAATTCCTCAAAGTGTTTGTCAAAAGCTGGCTGAGTGCCCTGAGGAGATCTGGTTACAGTAACCTTTTGTTGGCCTGGAAGTAAACCAGGTGCCTGCTCGAAAAATATCGGGGCACTTCCTCTTATTTGGGCATATGAAAAGCAAATGCCAGCTGGTTTCTCGTCTGCTTGCTCCGAAGAATATTGTACATTGGCAGATGGGCTCCAATAGACTGTTTCTGATTCGACGAAGTTTGCGACATTTCCATCATCATCAATTCCTCGAGCATTAAACCTTGTGCCAGCTCGTTTACAAGACAATCGAGATATCAATGTAAGAGACGATGGGAGGCCTGATCTCGAAGTTCGCAAAGGATCGGAGGCGGGAGGTATAGTATTCGTTTGAACATGGCCACGAATCGCAGATATAAGAATACCAGACTTGTCCAAAGCATCTCTTTCATGTACCACAAGGCGAGATCGGAATTTTCCCAAGGAACCAATCATATATGAATTCCATAGGAAAGAGTCGTCGAAGCTCTCAACATCGTTTGCCGTTGCATCTGTAGATCTGCAATGTATAAGAGTTTGGCACCGTGGGTATATTAACTTTGCTTACCGGTCTTGCAATCGATTTGTAAGGTCAAAATTTGTGCTGTAGTAGAAGGTTCCATCTGCCAATAGCCTCTGCAGCTCAGCACAAGGGTGCTCCACGATTGGATCCCGTCGACTCAAATTCTGGCCATATGTGTTCTCAGCGTTGTAGCTATAAGGATCTAAATCGTCCATAAAAGTGTTGTCGTACTCCGCATTGTTCAAGCAATGGAATTCTACCCCTATTATCTTTTCAACAGTTTCTCTAGGCCTCACCTGTGCCACTACGGTTCTGGCTGTTATTACGCAAAGGAATATATCATTGCTGACGGTAATTAACCCAAGTGTGCCATGGACTGGCATAAGACTTAACGTCCGGTAATCGCTGAGATCGACCGAAGAGACATCTGCGAACTCTACCATGCACTTGGGAGCTGTAACTCCGTCGGCAGATGCACGCGGATGTACTGGATAAATGGGATTGAGCAATCCATTGCTTAAAGATTCATTCGCAGAAGGACTATGGCGGAAGATGAGAGTGTGTGTAGGCGTCACAAGAGCAATTGAGCGATGGGGATATTCGCGGAGCAGAACGCGAATAGACATAATTGAAAACTGATGAATGAGATTGGTTCAAGTACTAATACTGAGTAGCATTTTGATATCTGGCGAGATCATGAAATCGTTGCTGTTTAGATGTACGATACACCAAGAACGACTCTCTCGGAGATCATAATGAAAGCTTTGGCTTGTGCTCAGCAGCAACTGCCCATTGTTTAAAATTTCCAGGGTTGCTTCATCCACATCCAAGAGATCATGTGCTTATGTAATCATTTCGATATTATGATCACGTGAGACATAGTTGGAAATTCCACTTGACCGTTTCATTGTTCCTTCGACACTTTCAAAAGTGCTCCTTGCCAGAGCTGTTTGTCCAACACCCTTTCAAGAATAGATCAAGGAATGGTAAACTTATAAGAGGATCGAACTGGGTTCTCTTGGAAACATATCCGGGCTTGAGGCCGTGGTACTAGCAGTGCTATATCTTATAAAACCTAAAACTCGCCTTCGCTACAACTTACCTACACTACCTGAAAGATTTGAAAGTTGCGTTACATGGCTCACGGACATGTTATAGAATTTGTATCCACGTGCATGAGTGTAGTACTCAAAGCTGGGTTCTCTGCAATTTGTACGAGCTGTGATGCCCGAGAGTTTGGAATTCACCCCAGTCTTGTGGTCGGGCTGAAGTTAATACCGATCCATTGACAGTAAGCTCTTCAAGCCACTTGATGAGCCAAGCAAGTTAAACTTTTTGTTTTGCCAATGGCTATGCTACCTTTTCTGTACCGCGCCCTCACTGTCCAACTCCTCACTCTTCCACCACCAATATCAAATGAAGCAAAGTATTCTTAAGGCAGATAAATTAGCCCTGTTGTACTGCCGTCGCCCACTCTTTGAACGGAGCTGCAAGATCGTCAATTTCCTTCGGAGATCGTTGTGGGCTTGTGCTTTGAAACAATTCGTGGGGGGTGCATATTAGGGAATATGAAATAAACGTCCCTGCTTGCCCAATCCAAACGGTGGCTGAAGTTGTATATGTACGAGCAAGGATTCAACACTCCATCCATGTCAGTGGTATCGAGGCTCGGAAAGAAGCAACATTGATTCCACAACACGAGTATGTTGAGACGGAAAGGGAGAAACTTCACGTATTGTAACATATAGTACAACATTGCTGGTATCCTCGTCGTAGGTCAGAGATTCGATTTGAACTTGATATCCGTAAGCTACTGACAATTCCCAGCCACGACTTCCTCGGAATCCCTCATGCCGAGCTTTTCATCAGGCATTCAAACAGTGCTGAATTAACAACCCAATCTTTCACTACCATTGTGCTAGAAGAGGTCTGATTTCTGAGATGTGTACATACATCACTACTGGTATCACAATCGAATTCTTGATCTTTAATTGTAAGAAATGTGCATAATGGAAGAGGCGTTTTGGCGCCTAGTGTTACCGCTACAGTGCTGACACTTGCTGACGACGTAGGAATGTTGTCTGAAGATTGATGCAATATTATCTTTGATGGTACTAGGCATTTTCTGCACGTCTCTTTAATGGGAATGAATGAAAAATGTCTAAAATGGAAACCGGAGAACCTTATGAACATGCCAAGATACTGAAGAAAACTATGAAAACGTATGAGCGATGCCCTCATTGACGTAATACATCGTGAATAACATCTACTTAGATAGATTGAGGAATATAGTGAAGCTCATAGAGTGGTTGACAGAATGATAACGTCTTGGAGGTTCGTAAAAGTGGCAAGGAGATTATGAATTTCTTTAGGAGCCTACTCCGTTCGGCTGTACCCCTTCATTTTGTGATGCTCTCGTATTTCGAAAATCTTTCGTTATAAAGCCAGAATACTTTTTTTCTTGAGTAACGATTAGTTTTTTTTTTTTCAATACCAGATATGAGCTCATACATATTAGTGTACGAATAGTCAATCCATTCGGTTTCTTTGAGCAATCACTATATTCTTGCTTCGGAGAATTCAGTACGTGAAGCCTTAAATCTAGAACAGGAGAAAGCATCAAAATATGGTGGAGAATTTATTTGCTGGGTGCACCGATGATGGTGTAACCTAGCAAATCATAACTCGTTGAGCTAAGGGCTAATTCTAAAAAAGATCGTTCTAGATGTCTTACCATGATGTACTGGGTAATGGATTAACATGATGCAAAACAAACTACTCGCGGCACTTTGATAAAATAATTGGCCAATCAAAACAGGATTTTCAATCCTCCAACTTCATATTTGGAGCTGAAAATCATTAGTTGGGATGAACCGTTGTTGATCTTATTATAATCCGCGGTTAAAAATTGCAATTCACACTGAATCCGACATCGTGTACTTCGTCCGGAAGAGGGAAATATATGAATAGGCATTGAACAATGGGAGTAAGGCGACGAACCAGTATACATTCATGCATGACTAGGGAGTGATGACACTTCTTGACAAGACTCCAGAGTGAGACGCAGCGAGTTGATCAGACGGAGAAGGGTCGGATATCGGATATTCATACTCCGTATGTGTCGTACAGAGCAGCCTATTGGGGAAAAAAGGAAGCTTTATATTTTTATCTTAAAGCTAATCGCGGAGAGTAGAAGTTGATCTCATACTACCGATCCCGATAATCTAGATACTGTTCAATGTACCTGAGCTACGACCGTTGACATCGGAGCTACTGCTCTCGATATGGATTCTCACACTAATACTTACTTGATACTTACTACTTTCTCTACAGTGTACGGAATGTACGGATATCGGCACCGGTTAGTATTTTGGGAATATCAAACACTCGAGAATCAAACTAGGTACTATGGAGAACATTTCGATTATGAGCATTCATTAGTCATCACACTGATCACAGTCCTTACGCAAGCGAGGCAAGGAGTAAAGAAAGATCTTCGCCAGGCTTGCTTATCCAGTGACTACCCGCTCCACGCCGCTCCACAAAATTTTGAATTAGACCTGGCTAGATCTTTCCCAAAAAATCTCTAGACCAAGAAGCGTATCTCGATTCTCCACGCACAGCTCCTAGAACTTCATCTTAATCACTTGCTACCCGCACTACCCTGAGTTTTCACTATCCTCACGACCTATTACTTACTATTCACACTATTCATACTGTTTCTCGGCTCACTCACTACTCTTACTACTTTCACTCTAGATTTCACTACTCTGAGTCTGAGCCTTGTAAATTTATTCCTATTTTCTTTTTCAGTTCCAATTATTGTTGATTTCCAGAGTATCCATATCATTTAGATTTATACAGTGTTTACCTTACATATCACGGCAAGAGTATCTGTCGTATGTCTGCCCTCAACCTAACTCAAATTCCCCGCCAAAGGTTATTTTGATGTCGAAGTTGTATGCTCTGGAAATCAATTCGATGCTCTTTGATCAACAGTGTCCACTACGACAGGCCCCCAGTGCGGTAACTGCCAGTAACCCGACCTAGACTCATCCAGTCCATTTACAAGTTTCAATGTTTGTTTAAACTCCTTGCATCCAGACTCTCCAGCCCTCTAGACCCTCTATTCGCTCGCTCGTCCCAATTACAAGCTCTCCCCCCTCATCCATCATCAGAATTTCAGTTAGAATATTTCTAACCTTCTGTCATCGAGCAGGAGTCTAGAATCAGTTCGCGCATAATTTGTTACTTCTGATTACCGGGGTTTCCATACCGTCAATTAACTTGTCACTTGCTCATCCATTATTTTCTCGTCGATCATTAGAGAAAAGCCCCACTGTTGGATGAGGTGCCAATCTCATGCGAGTACTTTGGCAACTTTGTGCTCTTTCGAAAACATACCTCTTACCAAGTCCATTGTGTATTGTCGACAACGACCTTTCTGTTCGACCATCTGGCTAAGGCAGGCAACTCGCGAGTGTCCTGACTAAATGCTTGATGCACTCATACCCACACCTGAACAACATAGTGGAATGCCAGAACCACGTTTTCATCGTGAGGGTTCTGAGGGAAAGCCATACGCTTCGAGAATATACAGACCCCAACGTCAAAGGGTTAGACGATTTCCTACCAGGCCCCCGGTAAAAGATCGGTTCCCCAAGAGGACGGGGGAGGAAATGACGGGTGTAATGGAATCGAGGACACAGGCACCACACAACCTTATTGACAGACAAACATTGTGCTTGCCGAATTTCTCCGAGGATTCCATACTGCATAGTGGAGATGAAGGCTTTATAGATATACTGAATCGATACTTCCCTGCGGCGGAGAGTAACGCTTCGGAACGCCTGGTAAAATTGAAGTCTCAGCTTCGTAAAGCTGACACCTATGACTTCTGGAGGGTACTGATGCAGGAAATGTGCGATATAACAGGAGCTCAATGCGGATTGGTTGCTAAACGAATGTTGGTGGATGATCAAGATACCGCTGTCGAACTCCCGGAACTTGGGGAAGAAGGCTCATGTCTAATGGGTGTTGCTTTCTACACAAAAAATGGGGATGAGGAACCTAACCTTGAAAGAGATTATAAGTATACAGCCTTTGGTACACCTTGCGCTTATATGAAGTACGATAAAGTGGTTATTGTACCCGAGAGAATGAAGGAGGTAACACCCAACAATCCAAACATCATGCCGTGGGGTCAATCGGAGGCCTTCATTGGTGTGCCATTAACTATGGAAGACAAATCTTTTGCACACTTTGCATTGATATGGTCTGAGGACGGTGCAAAAAGAAGGAAGCTCAGTTGGAGCTTCATAGAAATGTTCATGCATTCTCTTGAAGACTTAATTCTCCAACGTATAGTAGAGGGCCGAGGCTTTGCTGAAGATGGTAACCTTCCAGAATGCGCTGCAGAACAGATCATACCTCTTTCTGCTATCACCGCTTCGCAGTCACTAAAACCGTATGCTCGCAGCCTGTCGCACGAGTTAAGGACGCCAATGCAAGGAGTTGTTGGAATGCTTGATATCATGTACTCAACCGTACTTGATGCTATCGCAAATCAACAGAATGAGCGGGCTCGAGCTGTTTTTGCTGATCTTAAGGTCAATATTGAGATCGTGCAAGGTAAATAAACCCCATCTCCAAGGTTACTTATCTGATACTCATCTTACACAGAAAGCTCTAGAAGGGCGATAGAAGCAGCCGATAATGTCGTCCACGCATACGATCTCAATATGCAGATGCCTGATGTTCCCTTAACGCCTGAAGATGACGGAACAAAATCTTTTGCACCAATGCAAAATTATTCTCCGCCAACCGATGGGCAATTACGAGAGGCATTTTCATCTCCAAATCTAAAGAAGAGAAATCGATCCGAAGACCTCGAGCTCAATTTAGGATCTCCTCCGAAGCGTATGTTCACTTTGCCAGAGGGAGAAATATCACAGCATTTACTCGATGTCGATTCCGCCATAGTTTCCACGGCATGCTCCAGCCCCGAGATGCCCATTCGATCCACAACCACCACGACTTCAGAGATAGAGATGAAGTCAAACGAGTTTCCTTTCGATTCAAACCCTAGCCCACTTACATCTCCAGCTTCCATGAATCCAGGTCATCAACGAGTTATTACCCGCGAGTTCATGCGAAACCTTATTAGTGATTCCCTCAAGACCGATTATCCAACGAGCGAGCACCATACCACAACGGAATTTGGCGAGATAATTGAGCTGAAAACACAAGGGTCAAGAGGCGAAATGCAAGAATGCTCGATCGAACTGGTGATCCAGCCCGATGTTCCCGAGGCTATTCTTACTGAAGAGCAGCATTTGCAATTCTCAATCTCAAAGATTATCGACAATGCAATCAAATTTACTGATGGGGGTAGCATTACAATAACGGTCAAACTCAACAACACTGGGCATATGATTGAAATATGGGTGGTTGATACAGGATGTGGTATCAACGAGGAATCAAGATCTCGTTTATTTCAACCTCATTTCCAACAAAATGCATCAATCAGTCGTGCGAAAGATGGTCTAGGACTTAGCCTGTTCAACGCGAAAGCTCATGTGAGGAAGAACCTTGGTGGTGATGTTACACTGGAAAGATCTGCAACAGAAGGTCCGTTGAAAGGATCGGAATTCCTGATACGCCTCCCGATCTCAGCACTGGATATGAAAAGGGCTGTGACTCCACTCGTGGGCTCATCACCTAGTCATCCTCGAATTACTCGGGATGCTGTTATATCGCCTTACGCAACAGCATCAGCGAAGACTGCACGCCGACGAGCAACTCCCAACGCCAATCTTGCCAAAGACTATCCTCTAAACTTCCTCGTTGCAGAAGACAACGTAATTAATCGAAAGTTCGCTTTTACAGCTCTCAGCAGACTCGGCTATACCGAGGATAACATTACACTTGCATTTGATGGAGCAGATGCCGTTCGTTCTTACCAAGCCTCGTTGTCAAAGCCATCTGGTCGATATGATATCATATTAATGGATATATGGATGCCGAACATGGATGGCTACGAAGCTACAAAAAAAATTACCAAACTGGCGGAAGCCCATGGAGAGACTGCGACTATTGTCGCGGTTACAGCCGATATCACAGACGATTGTTCAATGAGGGCGAAGGAAGCGGGCATGCAAAGTTTCTTAGCAAAGCCGTATAGAGTTATTGATATGGAGAAACTCATCGTCGGCAATTTTCAACAAGGGTTCTGCTGTTCAGAATCATGAGCGTTTATTTTATTTTTCTCTTCTTTTTATGTATTTTGCATGGCGGTTTTAGGATCTGGACAACTCAGCGGGCTACGGGTTTATGGCGTATAGTAAATGTCAAAATATTAGGGTTCTTGGGACGAAAATTGGCTGGGCTTAGGAGCATTCATCGGGGCATCATGGCGTTTTCAGATGTCTAAATGGACCTCGAAGGAGTTGTTATTATGATCAGGATAGGAGTTCAGACTGGCTATGAGATAAGGACATCTCTTACAGGAATAGGGAACAGGAACATGCAAGGATTATGTATGAATTAATGGATGGGAAAATATCTGGGAGAATAGGGCCATGACAATAGTGCTATTAATTACAGAGGGTTTATCGAATTAGAGCTACTGTTACTCCTGGGTGAGTATTCGCTCCTTATATATCGAATATATTATTGTCTACTACGAGTAGGTATTTATCTATTTATCTATTTATCTATTTATCTATTTATCTATTTATCTATTTATCTATTTATCTATTTATCTATTTATCTATCTATATGTCTAAACTAGTCAATGAAAAAACACATATACTCGTGAATAATGATATAATAATAATTAACCTAAACAATTACACAAAGAATAATAATAATAGCGTGAGAATGAAGCCATTGAATCAAGTAAGGGGTATTAATGCTAGCTCTTGACTGTTTTTAAGAAAATCTGGGGAAATCCAACATTCGCTAGAACTCCACTAGCCTGGAACAATGACGCTACAATCATCAACAAACACCACGAGACCAACTCTGCGACATTCAAAGACTCTCAACAACACCGCCTCTCCCTTTTAATCTAATATTTAGTACGTCCTTCCTATAAACAATTCATCAAATTCGAACATGTAATATACCACAACACAAGATGCGCTTTCTCAGCATCAGTACCATAATAACCATTACCCTCTGGCAGTTGGCCTTCTCTGCCTTCGCACATCCAGCGTCCAGCCCTTCGCAATACTCCTCGACGCACGACCAGTCCATAATATCGCTACCTCTCTTCCGCTCTCTAGAGGAACTAGCCCGCCTAGTCGACATATCTTATTGCGTTGGCACAAGCGGTATTTCAAAGCCTTTTAATTGTGCCAGTCGCTGTGATGACTTCCCGGGGTACGAGTTGGTAGATACATTCAATACTGGGGTGGCGAAAAGCGATAGTTCTGGATATATTGTATTAGATCACGGATTGCAGGACGTGAGGGATGAGAGGAAGGGTAGGATAATTGTGGCCTTTAGAGGTACTTATTCTATTGCGAATACAATTGCAGACTTGAGTACGGTGCCGCAAGAATACATACCTTATCGTGAGGACCCCGATGAGCCTGAGACTCTGGATACCTCTACTGAGACTTCCGAAAAATATACTGTACAACGTTTCCTAGACCACATTCCTCGACCTTGGCCTTTCAGGTGGAAACACACATTGAAATCGACGACATCAAATCAAAAGTTGGGAGGAACCATCAGAAAATGTACGAATTGTACGGTTCATACAGGCTTCTATACATCATGGATCAATACCCGCCAATACATCCTACCTCATCTCAACGTACTGAGACAAAAATATCCAGAATATCAGCTGCATTTGGTGGGGCATTCACTTGGTGGGGCAATCGCCGCTCTTGCTGCACTGGAACTCGAAGGAAACGGATGGAGAACAATCATTACAACTTTTGGAGAGCCGATGATTGGAAACCATCGGCTGATGGACTTCATTGATAGGGTATTTGGGCTGGATAAAGGAGTTCACAACGGCATGGATAGGAGGTACAGAAGAGTGACGCATATAGGAGATCCGGTACCCCTTCTCCCTTTGAAGGAATGGGGATATAGAAGTCACGCTGGCGAAATATACATAGAAAAAGGGAACTTGCAACCTGAAGCTCAAGATATTCATCTTTGTTACAGTGACGAGGATAATAACTGTGTTACGGGGAGTGATGGGGAGGGCTTGTGGTTTCAAGGGGAAGACATATCCTCCATACTCCCTGTGGACTTTTTGGATGAAATACGGAATGCAAAATGGGATATGGGAGAGGCTGATGACAAAGCAGGGGCAGATGGAGAAATGGAGAGTATTCAAAAGCGATGGCCCAAGCTTCCCATTCCAACGAGATACAAACTCTGGCAGCTGTTCTTCGCACATAGAGATTACTTTTGGAGGTTGGGAGTTTGTTTGCCAGGAGGAGATCCGTTGGATTGGAGAAGACCACATTACAACCTCACGGGAACGGAGGATGGCATGGAGAGAGAGGAGCTATGATGATGTACGATATCGTCTAATGGCTTCTACGAGTCATGAATAGCTGCATGATATCAAGCTACAAATTCAAATTGTAAGGAAATGATGTGTTGCTTGTTCTAGATGTTTGGAGTTCATTGTGTACTATAGTCGGACAACAATACCTCAAAAACATGTGTATGCGAGCGGCTGGGATTGGAGTTGAATGCATGGTTTTATTTTCACTACTTTAATGCGAAGCGTCATTATTCAGAAAAAGTGCTCACCCGTATCAGTCTGCTTTACGAATCGATGGATGTAATAGGTTTCCCCTGGTCTAGTAGAAGATAGTATTCTACTCATGACCTAATGATAACTTTCTGTTCGACCCATCCCACTCAACCCCACGAAACTCCCAACATTTTATTCCATGTATCTTGCATGTGTGAATGTACTATCTTCACTCTCACCATGACTATTCATACCCATCTAATTTATCCTCACTCTCATTTTAACTATTCATACTCCGTGAATTCAATGACGAGTCTGTGTCCTAATCCCCAAAGTGTGAGAATTGGTTGGGCATGTCCAGCCAGCCCCATACCTCGCTATCACATCTCACGCAAAAGCAAAACTGCATTCTGACATGCATGCAGGCCCTAGTAAGCAAGATCTATGCAAGATTTCTCCGCGCCGTTTAGATCGATCTAATCTACGAGATCAGGGTCAATCTAACGAACCTTACTTTTTCTTTTCCTTTTGGGAACACAAATCTGCAAAAAGAAAGCATACAATATTACAATCTGGAAACGGCAAGCTGATTTCTCCGATCTTCTGTCATTTTGGAAGAAAGTTGAGCGATCCATGCAAGATAAGGATATTTGGCCGAGAGTAGAATTTTTTTGCTTTTTTTTACCTGCAACGCTGTATAATGTATTATTCATTCTGTTGGGTTTGTAAGAGTTCTGGAACCTACTTACCACACCCCTGTGACAAATGTGACAAAATCCCCGCAAAAATAAGGTTTTCCCATACAAATTATTATATTAAATATTTTATTCAAATCTTTATATTTTTCTTTCAAAAAAATTCAAAATGATAAATAATCATAATCAAAATATAAAATATTATTCGAAATATTATTCATTATTTTTGTTGAATAATTATATAATATTGAAATCGAAATTTTTCAAAAATTCTAACATGTAACGTTTTTCCCATACAAAATAAGCGAATTTTCATAAAAATTTAGAACTTTCAACTTTAACTCTTTCAAATCCTATTTAAAAAATTAGAAAAAATATTCTATTCATTTTTATATAAAATTTGATTAATTAAATAAGATTTTCCAAAAGAATTCTTAATTTTATCTTTTATTATAATAAATAAACTAAGGTATAAAAAGTTGAATAATCCCATGTTTTAGCTGGAAAAGCGTTACATGTACAGTGAGTAGGTTCCAGAACTCTTACATGGCATTGGGCGCAAATTGTAAATCGCGAATCGCGATTAATGCCTTTTTTTGACACTTGCATATTTTTCGTATTCGGGTCTAGGGCATGCTAGGTAGGGCTGGGGGTGGGGTGGGGGTCTTGGTAAGCTTGAGATCGAAATGAACCCTTGTCAGATCTGAACGGTCCCTTGAAATTCCCGCGCCGCATCTCCACGCAGCTGAACGTGTGGAGATGTTTGGATGGATGCAAGATTGTTCGGCGATTACATGCTTGATTTGGATGAGATGTGATGAGATGGGATGCATATATGCAGGATGGATGTGTGTTTCCGGCGGTGTGGTCTTTGTTGTTTCTTTGCGATTGGTTTGGAGAGTGTATGTGTGTGAAGGGCTTGCGGGAGTGGAGTGGGCTTTGGTATTGTGTGATTTCAGTATCAGGTTGTTAGCTTTACAGGTTTCGGTTATCGGAGTGATGGGTTTGTGATTATTGCGTAATTGGTGGAATTAATGGAATTAATGGTTTCGTTTAGGCCCTCTATGTGCCTAGTTACAGTAGGGAAAAGAAATTACTAGCGAGTAGAGGAGAAGTGTATTAGTTAGACTGCAGGTGCGATGAAACTCGGCGGAAACAAAGATGGGTATCCTGAATAGAGCTAGTTGCTCTAGTTTACATATACAATTTTTGCATCTTAGGTGAGCTGAAAGCAGCAGGAAATTTTCTACTCGCTGCAGAACTCTTTGCATTAGAGTAGGTAGGTATTCACAGGTAGTCAATGTCTGAATTCATACTGGTTGATGAAGAAACCTCAAATCTCACATGAAAAGAAGGTGGACAGATATCTAGACCCAATATCAATTACCAAGTCATGCTGCTCACTGTTCAAAGGGTGGATGTGCTGATAATGGTACGGGTTGCCCCTGGAGCAAAAAACCTCATGTTGGTCAGAGACTTCGTCGATCTAACAACGGATACACATTGCCATTTTCATGTACTGTACTGTAATCTAGGAGTTTGGAGATAGAGCACATTTTTTAACTCAGCGAGTAACGGAAGGTCATTGAACTCAAGGATATGGAAACTACGAAGACAGAGACCGATTCATGTACATCGATGGTAGATAATCAGTATCTCACTTAAGACAGAAACAAGAGTTCCATTCTGAAGTCAAAAATCCGCATAAAACTTTGCAATATAGTATTATCATCTCCCATACAACATTTTCACGAGTCATGGAGCTCCGTATAGCGAGGCACGTATCTATACAAAACAGGTAGCCAGTAGAATACAGGTCGTCATTGATTCTTAAATAACTCCATCGCTGTTTTAAATAGCATGGAAGATATCGGGAAACTCGTTTCTGAGAGGATCTTCCACTTCTGGTTATCTTATTTACCTCTGCGGTTCTCGCCAAAGAATATGCTGTGGGAACAGCCGAGTTGGCAGTCAATTGTATTGCCAATTCATAAAGTTCTGGGAGCACATGAAATCGTCACTGTGACACTAACTGGTAAGAGATATCGATTCGAATTATTCTACGGTGATGCCAATGCCTACTTTATATTAGCGTTTGATGTCTCAGCTGCCATTGCTCACTTAGGCGATTTTGATGTGATAAGTTGCAAATCTGTGAATACCATGGAAGGAAGTTGAGACTTTGGTAATGCATCTTTCATTCGTTGCCCAGACGGAAGAGCTGAATGTTATGTTATTGTAGGTGTACGGAGGCTTTCATTTTAATCACTATCGTATCAAGGCTATGGGATCAAGAGGTATGTCTCTCTTGATGATTAATGCCAGCTATTGTACATGCAGGACAGTGAATTCTTTCAACCTCTGATAATGCTCTGGTGTTGTTGATGGAATTCGCCATTTGTGCGTGAGGTGTTGTCCTTTCTGTTCTCTGACACTGGGGCGTTTGAAGTCATTCGGGCGCAAGGGACACATTGAGTCTATCCCAAGCAGTGGTCCCGAATGTGCTTGAAAAAATGGGTAAATATTCGGAACTTATTGAATGTGCTGGATGCTATGTATTGATTTTTCTGCAGCTGGCATTCAAAGAAGCTTCGTTCCCCGTCATTCCGGAATCTGCTACCTTTGAAGGCGACATCCCGTGTGGGATCAAATCGCAAACACCAAACTCCATGGGTAGATGTTGCATAATAGCCTTCAACAAGCAAATCCTCCATCACTATATAATAGAATGGAGCTTTGGGAGTCCAAACATTGTCATGATATGTTAAAATTGTCACCTAACCGCCGTAGACTAGATGGTAGCCAGTGAAGACTTTGCAAAGGAGAAAGTGATAGCTTTTCTAGGCTTTGCCTTATTCTCGGAGTACATCCAGCCGTACTGTGAGATTGAGATCGCCGAGGAAGCAGCTCCGAGCATTCATTTGATGGTTTGGAGATGTAAATGGATTGCAAAAGTTGGAGCTTGATTCTTCGCGTAGGGTGTGGAGGTTAAGCTATTTGATGAGATGAGAGGAGGTGACTATCGGGATTCCGACAGCAAGCTGAAACTTAAACAATTCCGACTTCTGAATTGAATTGACAGGTTCAAATTGTTTGAAGGGTTGAGTACTGAATGAGGTAGTCTGAATCATTGAGTGTTTCTACCCCGTCTAGTAGTTCGAATATTGGACATTCTGGATGAAGGTTCTGAAGAGCAATGAATTGAAACATCCATCTTTGATTCATTCCAAGACAGTTCGAGTTCTTTTGTCGGACGACATAGAGGCACCACTTACTAGGTAATGTCTTGAGGGCTGAGAGTCCTTCTTGCACCTCTCAGCCTCTGGCTTCCGCTGAATTACAATAGGATACAAGAGCATGTGAATGGAAAATGTTCCGGTCTCCTTATTGATACTTGTACGATAGCTGAGGACTCGATATTTTTGACGCGCAATTTGGTGGCATCACAAATATCAACAGAACCTGGAAGTAATGCTGCTAGAATCGACGATCTATAGATTCCAAATTTCCCGCTAGAGTTGATACGAAATCAGAGGTTTGGACGGATATTCACCAAGTTGCAAGGGCCCCTGCATCAGAGCCTACCGCTTCGTTACCAGTTCTCTAACACTAGATACTGAAATGAAATCGAGTGTATTTCAGTCAATCAGGTCCGAAAAACATAACCTATACTTGTCGATGAAAGGTAGGAATTTTAAGCGACAGTAAAGTGGCACAGTGGAAAATACGAGGGCTCCTTAAATCCAGGTAGTTTGTGATATTCAACCACATTATGTTGCGGCTCTCTATGTATGAAGAATCTATAACTTCGCCTTCTCTTTGGTCTGAGTAAACTCAACCTTGTTGATGCAACTGCCTACAGATTCTAGACCAACTTCAACCACATCACCATCCTTCAACCATACCTGTGGGTTTCTGCCCATTCCTACACCTTGTGGACTAACCATTTATTAGCATCATTTGCCTCTTAGAATTATAGCATAGAAATGGATGAAGTAAAATACAGAAACAACTCACGTTCCAGTAAAAATTAAATCACCAGGGAGCAATGTAGTTCCCTGACTCAAAAAGGCAATGGTTTTGGCCACACTGAAAATCATATCCTTCGTACTACTTTCTTGTACTGTCTTCCCATTCAATTTCGTAAAGATTGTAAGGTTTTGCGGATCTTTGATTAATTGACTGGAGACAATTCCCGGACCGTAAGGAGCCCATCCATCGAATCCCTTTCCGAGCGCCCATTGACCACCTCCGCGTTGAATCTGCCATTCCCGGTGCGACACGTCGTCACCTACGGCATAACCGAGAACGTAATCTAAAGCTTTGGATTCTGGGACATCGGAGCAGGATTTCCCGATGACAGCAACAAGTTCGCATTCGTAGTCAAGACCGGTGCCTTCTTGAGCCATTGGATGAATAGGAATGGGATCGGTAGGACCGGAAAGAGATGTGATGGGTTTGTACTTTCAAATGTCAATCGCTAACGAGGTCTAGGATGAAGGAGGATAGAAATCATGGACCTACAAACAGAATTGGAAATTTTGGAATTGGCATATTTGACTGTAACCACCCAATTTAGCACAAAAGTCCTATCGCAATCATTCCCTTCCCTTCCACATCCATAAACAAGACTTCCTACCTCCTTAGCGTGTTGCTCATAGTTCAATCCCAAACACCTCACAGTCTTAACATCCTCATTTGCTAAAGGTGCAAGTAAGAGCCGAATATCTTGTACTTGATCTGTGACCTCATGCTTCCCGAATATTTCGCCCGTAATCACTTTGGCCTGAGTAGCTTTCGCGATATCTGAGACTCCTTTGGGTAGAATGGCATCTCCGTAGTATGTGCGGCCGTTTTTGGCTAAGAAGCGGACAAGTCGCTTGAATAACGTGTTAGTACTCTGTAATTATCCGGATCCCGAGGGTTAAGAGTAAGATTAGACTCACGGAGAATGAAGGTGTCGACATCGTGTGGCAATTGAATGATAGTGAAGCAAACTGAAGGAACTAGAGGTATTTTACCTGTGAGATTCACAATGACGATAAGATAGCAATAGATTAGAAATCTCCGTAGTCGCTCAAGCACCGAGGTTAGTTCGCTTCCCCACCCTGTTCTAGAGCTCATTGCCCGTGCGGTTGCGCCCTCTCTTCAATGTACTCAAATCGAATTGGGGTATTAATTCTATATATCACTTATGTTGTGGAATCACAACATCAACGGTTCATTGTTCATCGTCCCAACCTAAATATCTTTAAGAGCAGAATCTCAATATCTTTGCACAAAGCATCGTGTTTGGACGATAGTAAGAGCTTGAACTCTTGGGTGTTCCCACGTGACCAGAGCTTGAGCATTTTGGCAACCCGTTCACTGGAGAAAATGCCAAGCTACATACAAACCATATCAATTATTGAGAAGGAAAAGTCATATTATATTATAAAGTTTTAAGGGAACCCAGCCCAATTAACAAATTCATACTACATTCGCAGCATCCCTCACCACCTGGACTTGCGATGTAACAGTGATTCCCCTCATGTCTCTTAATGACCTCGCCCCGTCCTCACTCTCTATACTTCCCTCACCATCACGACTTCCTCCCGTGCTCTGGAAGTAGCTTTTCTTGTTCGTCAGCTCAACCTCATCCGATTCCTCAATGCGAAAGTGTGACTGCTGCTTGAGAAAATTTGGCGTCTGGCTCAGATTTATATGGTGTGAGCCCTTTTGACTGGTCCCGGTATTGGAGCCTTTATTGTGAATACCGCGGAAGAGAGGCGCATATGTTGGTAGACAGGCGCCGATAATTGCGACCGAAGGCTCTAAGCTGGACCACGCGAAAGCGGGGCCAAGGATGAATGATATGTCGACTGCGGTGGTCAGATGCGTGAGGTAGTAGATGCGTACTATACTGGCGACACAGACACTAGACGGGTTAGCGGGGACGGAGAAATGCTGGAGAGTACTTACAAGCTACCAAGCAACATTATACCCGCGACGGAAGCCTTCTTGCGTTTGTTCATGTGGAGTGTTAAAATTCGAGGAATTGGGACGATCAAGATGATAACATCATTGATCATGTTGACAATTCCAAAGACCAAAAAAAACATCAGATAATTGATGCACTGTCCTTCTGTCGCGCCGGCGTATTGCATCCAGAAGAAATTCAATGGGCGACAGGCGGCTGCCATTACGATCCACATAATAATGGGATAGACGCAGGTAAAGGATGTGGCAACCCAGTACATTATAGTGAAGATGCGGTTAATAACTAGCATGTTGCCTTCGCCTGTGTAGAACAATCGCCGGTAGAGGAGCAAGATACTGATCTTAGTTGATGTTACGGATGCAGCGTAGACCCAGGGCTCGGCATATACAACCTAAGCATCTGCGTTAGAATGGGGAACACAACACTTGATGAAGACTCAACGCGAAGTGTCGCATCGTTAAAACATACCTTCAACAACACCATGAGCCGCGGCAATGTCGTCGACCACACATGTTTACCCGATCCATATGCTCCAGCTTTTCGAGTAGAAAATGTCAGTCTAAATTCTCAGGTAAAGCTAGAATGTTGCTACTAAGTTCGGGAGTACCAACCAATAAGAGTTGTAGCCACGAGAGCACAAGTACAGATCTATCAAAGCTTCACGTTAGAAACTGTGTATTCATTTTCTTTTCCGGGGTATAGGAGCCATCGTGAAAGATGCAGAAGAAATTCATCGCGATCAGAGAAAGAGCTGGACTTACAAGTCCTAAGACAACAAACCAGTCATCGATAGCCAGACTATTCGCTCCACGCATAGTTCGGACATAAAAACGCAAGCATACTGCTGCAGCTGCTATTCCGAGCACCACACAAGACACGATGTCATATGCCGCCGTGATGCTTTCATTCAAGTCAACACCAGCAGCAGGCGGCCCGAAAACGAGTTGGATGGAGGGATCAACTCCCAACATGATTATATAAATTGATTTGACCAACAATTAATGTAAAAGTCAATTTTTCCCCATAAAGCGATTTCAACATAAAAGTTGACGGTCCCATTTGACCGGAATTCCTGCGATGGTTATATGCAGGTGAAGGTCCCGCTGATCATTGCCTGGAGACCCGTGGTGAAAATTCTCACCTCTGGGCATACCTGATATGTAGGGATTTTTGTTTTGAGAAGATGCGATTTTTACAGGATTGCCATCGGTAGTTCTGCTTGTGCTGACAACGTCTCAAACTTCTACCAGCTGTTGATGCAATCTCCCACCCTTGATCAGAGATCATTAGAAGGATTGGGCCCACAACACAGTGAGCGTCTTCTTCTGAATGGCCTCATCCCTTGGCTTTGCCCCAATTAACTCAATCGAGCCGGGGTAATACGCGAAAAATCCGCAATGTACAATGCATACCCGCCAACGATACTCGTGCGGCCAGAAAGTATACAACTCCTGCCTCAATAGGATTAAGCCACTGTGGGGAAGCTTTCTATTGCTTAAAAGGGGCATAAATCATTAAAATTTGTGCTGAAAGTAGTAGGGCTTCAATATAAGCGAGCCATTCAATTGATTTATTTTTCCAAATCTCTATTTAATATAGTGGAATTAGAAAGAGCAGTGGATTCTATTGGCCCATTAAAGTCGATATAGTATATTTAGCGCCGGAGTTGCATACTTTCTGGCAGCACGAGTAGTTTCACCATTAATCCATGATACCTGCAGTGATTTTGGGCAGCTAGGTCGATTTGTTTCTTGGTAAGATATGCTCGAGATATGTTTTATGTTTGACAATTATTTTAATATTGGTATTTGTGTTGATGTTTTGTATTGACCCTAAAAATATTATACAACATAACCATAAGCGACTGGCGGTGAAACTACGGGGCAGTGAGAATATGATGGGTTAACCGTTGGACTATCCCGTATTGGAACTAGTCTAGTCACGGAGTTTTCTCTTTCTCCAACAGAGCTCCACACTTCCCTCCTTTTAGACTTTCCAAGGTTAACACAAGAAGTAACAATCACCATATATGAATTTGTCAACACAAATGCAGGTCGACCCTATCAGTCATCCCGGCAATTGCGATGCTATCCGCTGAAAAATATGGATTTGGGTTTCCCACTATTCCCTTCAAAGGAGCAATTTCTTGAATTCTCGCGAGATCCTGCATCAACTGTCAGAATGCAGGTAGGAAGTCGATCCGTGCTTGTGTACCCCTGGACAATCTTTGCTACATCAAACATTATCCAATTTTACTTGCTTGACCTATATTTGATTATGGAGTATCTCTACTATATCCCCAATTTCTGTTCATGAAAGGGAACGTGGCGGAAAACCCCATTCTCATTCCGCCACTGGCTCATAGATAATCAATCGGGCAATAGCTCCCATTTGGTATTGTCCACAGTCTATTTCATCACCAATGACATTTACCATGTCTCAAGCAAGTTGTGGGGGCTGGCTAGCATCCCAATTCGGATGCTCAAGAGATTTAGTGCGCCGATAGTTCGTCTCGGTACTATCCTAATGAAGGGAATGAGAAATTAGATGTGGATAGGCTTCATCATTTGTATTCGTCTCGAAGTCGGGAGGTGGATCGACGGGTACACTAGAAGTGCCCTTATTTCAGTGAGTTGGAGGGGTTTGATAGGAAAACTTCTGTGTACAATACAGGTTGTTGCGCGGAATCTGCGCCTGTTTGACATCCCGATTGATCTGCAGTACGGCATTGTTGATCTAGACTTTGCAATATGAATTATCGGAGATACCGTGATAAGAGGCTAATTAGAAACAATCGAGTGCTGTCACTGGAACTTCCGTAAATAACAGCACGTTCTTCCTCTTTTTCGTCGTCTATCGTCTATCGAAGTCTCTATTCAGAAATCTTCTGCAAAAAACAACTTCTTACATACCAATAATCACTCGCCATGGACGCAGCATCTAAAGCACCGCCTCTTCTCGCGTCTGAGCTTATAGGTCCCAAGGGATGGATCCAAAATATGATATGCCTCGAGTTGGCAGCAGACTACGACGCTGAGAATATCTCATCAATGCTGCGAACAGCATGGAGCAGTTTCAAAGAGCGAACACCAATGGTCGGTGTTGAGGCCGTGCCTGCAGACCCCGATGTGAAGCCCGCTGGACAGCTAAAGCTACAGCCTTACCGCGATGGCGAGATCGAAGATTTTATAGTCAAGGATCACCGTAACGATAGCACAGCACCTTCATTTAGTCAGTTGAAAGATCAGGGGTTTCCCAATGCAGCCATGGACGATGAAAAATTATGCATGCGTGGCCGAGTTGGGGAATGGCCTCAGTTTGGCGTCGATCGCCTAGCAACTCAAATGATGCAAGCCAACCTGATCAAGGGTGGATTACTGCTCAACCACTTGTGCTTCCATTCATATGCCGATGGACTATCCATGTGGAAATTGGCCGAGCTCTTTGCTGAAGATTTACGCCGAGCACAGGGGTTGACTATCGAGAAACCTGTTGAGATTCAAGTTGCGGACAGAGCGAAAATTTTGCAGAGCACTGGAGAAAACGTGTGCGCCAATTTTGCAGAGGAGCACACAGAATTTATTCATTTGCCATTTACTCCTCCTGGACTCCCCGAGGCTTTAACGAAAGGAGATAGTCATGCTCACGTATATCGATTCACACCAGAAGCCATCCGAGAGCTCAAAGAAGAGTGCTCACCAGCAAAGATATCATCTAGTCTCAAGGACAAGATTCCACAAGAACAGCAACCAAAATTCGTCTCCACCAATGATGTCCTATCTGCACTGATCTGGAAATCCATCCAGAGCGCCGAACACCCTGATCATTCAGCCCTCGATCCCAGTAAGCTCTCGATAGGAATGGTCGCCTTGGACGCACGACGCCGTGTTCACGTGCCCATACATCCACACACACTGGGTAATATCATCGGATTTACCACTGCAGTTCTACCAATTTCTCAATTGATTTCTAAAGATACTCCGCTAG